ACACTGATATTTTACGTATTTGTATATCAGGATAAGATTTCTTATCTTACTCGGTTTATTTACACGTTAAGAGATTTGATCTTACAAAAAGCCCACTTATAGGCTATGAACTCTTATCCTGCCTATTCTTATTTACACACTAAGAGCTGAGCTGGTATCCTATCTAAGCTCATTTGAAAATCTTCTTTTATCTAAGCTTACTTGAAAGCTTGATTTTATCTAAGCTTCATTCCCAGACTTTCGGTTACAACTTGCAACAGACGACGAACACTCAGGTACCTATTTACTCTTAGGTGATATAAACAACAGGTGCAAGGACGCTCACTCGTATGCCTCCTTTCCCCTCCTCCCCACCATCCTTCCCAGCACTGGAATCGAACTCGAGATTCTTTCGGTTGGGGGCCAAGCATTCTATCCCTGATTAACTTAGCGAGAGAAATAGATAACGTTTCTTGGTATTATTAGGTAGGTCTTGTACCTGGAACAATCTCAGCTAAAGCCATAGGTCAATATCGCTTAGCTGAGCTCGTTAATGTACCTAGAACGTTCAAGCTGCGTTGATATTCCTGGAGCTTACCTATTGAGAGTGACTGTCTTAAGTCGTACTGATTTATAGCGTCCTGTGGCTGAAGGACTGTGATGACGGACCGTCTAGCAACAGTGTGGTGTTAGTGTCATCTTCACACACACACACACACACACACACACACACACACACACACACACACACACACACACACACACACACACACTATATAAAAACTATTGGTGTGCAGGCACTGCACTTGTTATTTACCCTTTAATGTAATTCCTGACGATATCCTTAACAAATTAGTGAAATTTCGCAGCTCAGGCTGACATAGTACATTACTTGATGCAAGTAATCCTTCCTCTGTGATGATGGAATACATCAAAACATAACTAGTCTTTGTTACCAATGTGTAACTATCATGAACAATATAGTAGCATCAAACTGCTAGTGTTAACACTGTGTAACAATCATGAATAATAAAGTAACAGCACACTGCTGGTGTTAACACTGTGTAACAATCATGAATAATAAAGTAACAGCACACTGCTGGTGTTAACACTGTGTAACAATCATGAATAATAAAGTAACAGCACACTGCTAGTGTTAACACTGTGTAACAATCATGAATAATAAAGTAACAGCACACTGCTGGTGTTAACACTGTGTAACAATCATGAATAATAAAGTAACAGCACACTGCTAGTGTTAACACTGTGTAACAATCATGAATAATAAAGTAACAGCACACTGTGGTGTTAACACTGTGTAACATCATGAAAATAAGTAACAGCACACTGCTGGTGTTAACACTGTGTAACAATCATGAATAATAAAGTAACAGCACACTGCTAGTGTTACACTGTGTTACAATCATGAATAATAAAGTAACAGCACACTGCCTAGTGTTAACACTGTTAACAATCATTGAATAATAAAGTACAGCACACTGCTGTGTTCAACACTGTGTAACATCATGAATAATAAAGTCACAGCACACTGCTAGTGTTAAACCTGTGTAACAATCATGATAAATAAAGTAACAGCACACTGCTAGTGTTACACTGGTAACAATCAGAATAATAAAGTACAGCACACTGTAGTGTTACACTGTTGACATCATGATATAAGTAACAGGCACACTGCTTGTGTTAACACTGTGTAACAATCATGATAATAAAGTAACAGCACACTGCTAGTTTAACATGTGTTTTAACAATCATGGAATATATAAGTAAGCACACTGCTATGTAACCACTGTTGTAACTATCATGAACAATAAAGTAACAGCACACTGCTAGTGTTAACCTCTGTAACTATCATGAACAATAAGTAACAGCACACTGCTGGTGTTAACACTGTGTACAATCTGATATAAAGTAACAGCACACTGTAGTGTTAACACTGTGTAACAATCTGAACAAAAAGTAAAGCCACTGGTGGTTTGTTAACGACTCTGTAACTACATGACAATAAGTAACAGCACACTGCTGGTTGTTAACAATGGTAACAATCATGAATAATAAAGAACAGCCCACTGTGGTGTTAACACTGTGTAACCAATCATGAACAATAAAGTAACAGCCATGCTGGTGTTAAACACTGTGTAACAATCATGGAACAATTTTAAAGTAACAGCACATGTGGTGTTAACACTGTGTAACAATCATGAATAATAAAAGTAACAGCACACTGCTGGTGTTAACACTGTGTAACAATCATGAATAATAAAGTAACAGCACACTGCTGGTGTTAACACTGTGTAACTATCATGAACAATTAAGTAACAGCACACTCGGTGTTAACACTGTGTAACAATCATGAATAATAAATAAAAAAGCCACACTGCTGGGTTAAAAATGTGTAACTTCTGAACAATAAAGTAACGACACTGCTGGTGTTAACCGGTAACAATCATGAATAATAAAGAAACAGCACACTGTGGTGTTAACCTTGTAACTATCATGAACAAAAAAGTACAGCACATGCTGGTGTTAACATGTGTAACTATATGAACAATAAGTAACAGCACATAGCACGTGTATACAATGCTCGAAATAAGGTTCATCCTTACATAGCAACTCAGCCAAGTTTTCTTCCTAGCACACTCATATTGTCTAAAATAAAACACACACACACAAACAACGCACACACACACAAAACACACAAAACACAAAACACAAAACCACACACACACACAAAACACACAAAACACACACACACACACACACAACCACAAACACACACACACAAAAGGCAGGATGTTCCAGAGATTGGGCACAGTAACATGGGGACACAGTTGGAAGTTGAAGACACAGATGAATCACAGGGATGTTAGGAAGTATTTCTTCAGCCACAGAGCAGTCAGGAAGTGGAATAGTTTGGGAAGCGATGTAGTGGATGCAGGATCCATACATAGCTTTAAGCAGAGCTATGATAAAGCTCACGGTTCAGGGAGAGTGACCTAGTAGCGACCAGTGAAGAGGCGGGGCCAGGAGCTTAGACTCGACCCCTGAAACCTCAACTAGGTGAGTACAACTAGGTGAGTACATATGAAAACAGCAAAGGAGTTGCTCAAATCGGATATAGAGATACGGAGGTAAAGGAAATGGGAAGAGGAGAAGGGAGGTCACTGATTATTCACTGGTTCGGGTTTACTAAATTCAGGGACGAGTTATGATGAAATATGACACGCGGAGGAAATGGAGATTGATGATATCATCACAACTATGGCTGGGGAGGGTATGTCTCAGTTGGAAAATATTCAGAAGTCATTGGTAGTACTCGAAAGGAAAAAGTCGCCCAGTAATGGTACCAGACAAGAACCTGCAGCAGACACCTTAACCAGGATAGAACAAATAAAGGATGGGAAACAGCTGAGGGGAGTGTACAAATACGTCAGATGGCATTTATCGACAAGGGATGGAAAACTCGAGGTCTCTAAGCACAACCACACACAGAATACCTCTCAGCCCCTAGCCCCCCTACCCAATCAAGCACAATAATCCAAAACAACTCAAACTCCCCACCCACAGTCCCCATTCTTCCCTGCACAAATACTATTCTCACAGAAGCCCCACACAAAATCCCACCCCTTTCCATACCCTCAATCCGCACCAACCCTTCCCACCATCCAGACTCATGGGAAGGAACACGAATCCAAGAACCCTCAAACCAAAATACAGTAATGAAAAAGAAGGGAAGGTATGGTACACCAACGCCGATGGAATAACAAATAAGAGACAGGCGTGGCACGAACGAATCATGGGAGCATCCCCAGACATTATAGCACTCACTGAGACAAAGCTTTCAGGGATGATAACAGACATTATCTTGATGAATAACAATGAAATTCTGAGAAAAGATAGAGAGAACAGAGGGGAAGGAGGAGTTGCACTGCTCTGGAGTTTTGTAGAGATGGGAGGAATAAACAGAGGAACACTAAATACTGGGGTTCACAAGGTGGTGAAAGCAGTGATTTGCTACCCTCCACTAAACTGCAAGAGAAGAGCGGTAGAGTACCTAAAAGAAGATGATTCATACTTGACAGCAAGCACGGCTTCAGGGATGGAAACTCCTGTGTCCCAAACTCACTAGAGTTCTATGACAATGTAACAGAAGTAAGGCAGGTGAGAGAGAGAGAGAGAGAGGGATGGGTAGACTGCATTCTTGTAAGAAGGCTTTTGATACGCTACTGCACAAGAGACTGGTAAAAAAACTAGAATAACAGCAGAAATAACAGGAAAGGCACTACAATGGATCAGGGAAAGCATGACAGGAGGAAACAATGAGTGATGGTGCGTTGTGATGAGTGGGATCCACAAGACTCAGTACTTGGTCCAATGCTGTTTCTTGTTTACTTGAATGATATTAAAAGATGGATGGGAAACTGATGACGAAAATGTTACAAATGGATCTGGACAGGCTAAAAGCCTGGTCTGACAAATGGCTCCTGGAGTTTAATCCTTCCAAGGGTAAAGTTATGAAGCTTGAGGAAGACAAAGAAGACCGTGAAAAGGGGGGCCAGGACCTATGACTCGACCCTAGCAACCACAATTAGGTGAGTACAGGGCTGAGACTCGACCCTTCAAATCTCATATAGGTAAGTACACACACTTCAAGTACGTTGAAGCCACTGTGTTGCATTTGACCTCCCTCCTACTGCTGCTGTTGCTGCTACTGCTGTTGCTGCTGCTGTTGCCTGAACTTTGCTATGTGCCACAGCTCGGCCGGAAGAGCGTGTATATTGCCGCAAGCGGGTCGTGACACTCACTGACTTGCGGAAGACGAGGGGCGAAGGTGAGGCTGATGATTTTGTTTTTCCAGGTTTGGGTGGTGAGGGAAGGGAGATGGAGGAAGTGGGAATCAGTGCCCGGCTGAAGGTTATTATCTAATCAACGGGGCGAGGAGGAGGTGGCTGGAAGGTGGGGCAGGGGAAGTGGGGACATCAGAGTGCCGCTTCTATACCAGTTGGGGAGAGCAACTGCAGCAGTGGACCCACCACTACCATCAACATCAATGACCACGACTCTTTCACCTCTCATCTCCCCCACCGCCACCCACCGCCACTGCCGCCAGCGCCGCCGCCGCCGCCGCCAACGCTGCTGCCTACATGCCCGGTCGGTGAGCAGTAAGCAACCCACAGCGGCAATACCATTACTTACCTCCGCTACACTCCACTGTCGGCCGCGGGCCAGCACGCACTCCCTTGCTTACTCAGCTTCGACACTGTAACACTGTATAAATTAAGGTTAACATTACCTTATTCTATATGACCTAAGCATCTACTTAAAAAAAGTGATTATTTACGTTTCGAGTGTATTTTTATAAAGTGGATTAAACTGCACATGCACAAAGTGATATCAAGTACACATGCATCAAATGATTTCAGTGAATTCATGGAGAGCTGGAATTTATTTTGAAAAATTCTGTGCGTACGGGTATTGATTGAATTTTGGAAAGAAGTGTTGTAATGATAAATAGTTATATGAGTGTTGCGTGACGGTAAGTTAGACTCTTCTAAAGATAAGATAAGATATTAAAGAGTACAGTTGGCGTGCTGCAGAGAGCAGCAGAGGCAGTAAGAGTGTTGTGGGTGAGTGTGGAGGCTGTGGTGAGGGGACCCAGTTCCCACCAGGCGAATGAGGACATCCTATGGCAGGAGTCTACAGCCAGCCTCACCCACCACCACCCTAAGCCCACCCCACTCTCTCCCTTCACCCTATACATAAAGCCTATAGATTCTCATAGGCTGAGGTGAAGGAGAGAACCAAAGTGTTTGAATCGTAAAAAAAATAAAGAGAATTAAAGCGGCAAAAATTTTAATAAAGTGCTTTCGTTTAAGTTTGTGTTGCATTGATTGATACCATTAAGATATATAATTAAATACACAAAAGAGGTGAGTTGTTAATTAACGAGAAGGAGAAGCTGCCGAGTAGCGCCTGAACCATGAGAGAGTCTGCGGCTCCAAGCACTGGCGGGGCTCCCAGGAAGGTATGTATAGGCTTCCTTGGGTTTGTCGATTCCCTCTTCTCCATCTTGGTGTTCGCTCCTCTGGTGGTAGGTTACTGGCGCGGTTGCTGGCAGCTCATGGATCAGTTCCTGCTGCCAAATAACAAACAGTTGTCGGTTGCCACCTCACTAGCAATGGGAGTCATTTCTGGACTACTGTTTTGCCTCCTACAACGGCAGCTTGATGTTCTCTTCGATCACTCCCGACGACCCAGTCTGCACCTACTTGCGTCGCGTCTCTACACGTGTGTATATTGCGTGTGCTGCGTCAATCACTGGAGAGGAGTATGGGCTGCCTGGGACCTATACACAGGAATCTCTTGGCAGTCAGGAGCAACTTCCTTCGGCATAGGTCTCACGACACTGGCCCTCACCCGTGGCCTCAAAAATATCTTAGCCCCGCCATTTATCGTCGTCACAGACCATCCAACAGGATACTTCCATGTGCCAACCCTCTTCAGCGCTCAGGTAGGTCGTTGCCTTCCACACATATTTCTCCTTATAGATGTGACCGAGTTCATCGGACTCAGCCTCAGTTCTTCCTTCTGGTGTAAATAAGGTTATCCATCTTGATGTCGCCATGACAGTGTTTTCATGTACAGTATCTCAAACGTTTCTTGTTTTTGATACTTACGTTCCAGTTAATAAAATGTTTATTAATTTAAATATTTTCCTTCCTCCGATTTTCCAGTTGTTTCCCTTTTCTAGATAATAATTCAGAACTTTTCAATATGTGACAATAATCATTTATGGAAAGCATATCTTGAGCATTTCTATAAACAAATCTCGATTTCCTGTATGCTTCGCATATTTCCTAGACAAATTCCGATGTTCGAAATGCTGATGAAATCTTTTGTTTACATGGTTAGGCTTTTGCTTTTCCGTCCACAGTTCTGATTGCAGGACCTCGGCGTGACTCCTACCACGGTGCTACGGCAGTGTATGTACATGGTTAGGTTATATCTCGACTCCAATCATGATAAATAATTAAACTTTAAAGTTTTTATTATGTGGCAATTAAAATGACAGTATGCTAGAGTAAAGTCATACAGTTGTATATGACTTTATAAAAACTTGTGATTATTTATGACAAGTCTTTGAGACTTTTCAATATTATGACTATATTATCTATTTAGCTAGTGGTGAGTACTGGGTAACAAGTACTCAGTGTCGAGTCATGTCCTAACTCTCAAGTGGGAAGGGAATGGGTGTTTAGAGCAAACCAGTTGATAAGCTTCTATACATAAAAAAAAAAAACATAATTAGTTATTGCCAACTAGAACGCTTTCGCTTTCGTAGTAAATGATAACATGCGAGGGATGAGGCGTGGCGGGTGGTTGCTTGACTGTTCGACTGAGGGAAGTGCTGCTACGCTCTTCTTATTTATATGTTTATAGTTTAACGATCTTTTCCATATCAGTAATTTATATAAGTTCAAAGGATTTATATAGATGATTATGAATAATCATCTGTTTTTGTGAGGCTATAGTTGAGTAAGATTCGTCAGGAAACAGGACATGTGTTTTCTGACGCTTGTCTTAGTCATATGATGATCCTCCACTGGAGCTTTTGGACATCTGACCGAGGCCTTCAGCTGGCTTACCCGTCCACCACTTTAAAAAGTAAGGTTATATTTGTTGTTAGGCCATATATTTATACACTTTTTGTATTCATGCACTTTTCTATAGTATATAATTATAAAAAAAAATTGTCACTTGATGAACAGAAGAAATAAAAATATTTCCAAATGAAGAATATTTTAAAAATATCAATGTAGTTCATTAGGTGGTTAATAAAAGAGTGTCTTACGTCTGGCAGAGTGAGACATGAATAACTTGTTCCAGCGTTTTATTCCTCCTCAACACCCACTCGTGCTGCTTAAGTTGAAGACTGAGCTGCACACAGGAGTATGAACTATCCCATACAGATAGTTGAGCCAAGAAAGAAATATAAAGCCTTTTTCGAGTGCAGTTTCTTTAAGAAAGTGGAAAACTTTAGCTTAGGTGTGGTCTGCAGAACGTCAAATATACAGTCACAATGCGAGGCTTGTCAGGAATTTCAGTCTGGATTTCTGTGACAGGAATAAATAATTTTATGACGTTTTGTTCAATGATTTCTAAATCATTCTTTGACTCAATTGGAATGAACAACCTTGTTTATCTAGTTCTGGTTAACAAGGAAGTACTGATAAATATTCTTGAAGTCTGATATTAATTTGGGAAAAGCCAATATCAAACATGGTATTTTCAGACTTTATTTAATATTGTAATGGAGAGTGCCATTCGGGAAAGCAGATGAAGACCGTTATTGTACTTGGAAAAAACTTGCAAAAGATTCCCAGCATACTCTGACAGGGAAATCAGAACTGTATGAACAAGAGATTAAAATATCTCTTGGGTATCAAAGAAGACGTTCAGATGTAAGAGCACTTAAGGCCCATCCGAAAAGTTTCCTTTCGGTCTCTAGGTCTATAGGCCCATGGTTCATGGAGAAAGGTGTCTCCTTTAATCTTACTCACGACAACTTTCATCTAACGTCTAAGAAATGAGTTTGATTTTGAGAATTGTCTTTTTTTTTTTTTGCATAGAACACAAGTATCACATCTTAATAATTATAAAGAACCTGATAAAAATGTATTGCTCTCTGGAAAATAGTTACTAGAAACACGTTTCTCAAACAAAACCCTTGATCTCGAAGAACTAAACCATACCACAGGCGGGATAGAATCCGCGATCAAAGAGTCTCAAAACTCCAGACCGTCGTGTTAGCCACGATCTGGAGTCATTACGATTTCGTGGGTCATCTCGAACATCTATTTTGTAGGGTACTCAGAGCAAACAAGGTAGTAAATATTAATGATTATCTAGTCTCTTTAATAGCTAGTAGAATACTAAGTGTGCCTGAGAATTAGAAGATAGTTCATGTGTTACCTGCTGTATATGTGATACATCGAATTATTTCCCTATCTTCCTGACCTCAAGAGTTGAAAAATGTTTTGACATTTTGTTATCAGATGCATCTCAAAATCAACCTGATGAACATAAGACACACGTCCAACATTTGGAGTATCTTTAATGGTGGTGCATTTTTTTTTTTTTTTTTGCAAGTCTGGATTTTCCAGGCTAATATAGGGGCATGATGATGGAGACTTATGTAGTAAAGCAAATAGAAGAGGTAATAAGTTGCAGACGTTGTCATAAGAGGGCGGGACTCGATAATGACTGTAAATCATTCCCATAAATTGAATCAAAGGTTAGGAATGGAGAAGATATCTTTTGATATGTCAGACATGTATCAATAGATAAAAGATATACAGTTCGCATATTGTGATTAATATAAAACTGATGCAATATCTTGGTATTCTTTTTAGATAAATGTTTCTCTCATAAAGATGATAAGTGTTGCATATATATCTTAATCTTTTGATTTAATGATAACTATAATTTTGTCAATGAAATTCAACACGACTTTCTTATGGGTTGTTATTCTCAAACTAATTTACTGACTTAATTATGGTATTTAAAGTGGAAGACCATAAGAAAAACCTTGACTCATATGTGAATGTCAGTGATGCCTTAGAATGGCTATCGTATAGGAGACAGTTACTGTCAGCTATAGAAAATGGGGAAAGGGTCAGTGGTGAAGAGAGGAGACTGAAAATGGGTGGTCAATGGTGGACAGAAGAGGATGAAAATGAGAGGTCAGTGATGGATAGAAGAGGATGAAAATGAGAGGTCAGTGATGGACAGAAGAGGATGAAAATGAGAGGTCAGTGTTGGATAGAAGAGGATGAAAATGAGAGGTCAGTGATGGATAGAAGAGGATGAAAATGAGAGGTCAGTGGTGAAGAGAATGAAAAATTAAAATTGAGTGAAGATGTTGATATAAAATAGATCACTCAGCATAAAGATAAATTAGGAAGAGAATAAATATGAATAATCACAGGACAACTAATTTCGTTGCGAATGAAAATAACAAAAGAAGGAAGAACCACCATAAGTTCCATCGCTTCTTGAGTTCTTGAAGGCAGGGCGCCCCGGGAGCGCTAGAAAACTGATAAAATTAAAATTTATGTCAGGTGTTGTGAATAAATAATGTATAAATATGACAACAATTTGGTGGCAAAAAAAACAAAATTGTCCCTAACCATTTTTTCCAGTTAAGTTTCTCCTTGTAGCCCATCATCCATAGCTCCAGTGACTACAGTTTCATTGTTGTTATACTGTAGAGTGTTATTACACTGCTGTTATTACACTGTAGTGTGCATTATTACACTTGTTGTTACACTGTAGTGTGTCTTATTACACTGTCGTTGCTACACTGTAGTGTGTGTTATTACACTGCTGTTGTTACATTGTAGTCTGTGTTATTACAATGCTGTTGTTACGCTGTAGTGCGTGTTAGTACACTGTTGTTGTTACACTGTAGAGTGTGTTATTACACTGTTGTTATACTGTAGAATGTGTTATTACACTGTTGTGATTAGACTTTAGAGTGTGTTATTACACATTCTTCCTCGAGAGTAAACTGGATAGAAGGTCCGGCTGCCTTGAACCGAGGAAGAGTTCAATGACAAGTTACCTTTTCTAGACGTCCTTATTCACAAAGTTGATAACAATCTAAGATTTCAAGTTTACCGGAAACCTACCAACAAAAATGATCTCACACACTCCCATTCCAGTCAAGATACTAAGATCAAAAGAGGCATCATCATCGGATTCTTCCTCAGAGCATACCGAATTTGTAGTCCTGAGTTTCTTGACGTGGAATGTACATACATTCACCAAACCTTCACTGATATACATTTTCCTTCTTTTTTTTCATCAAATATGCACCAACACGACTCCTAACAGTTATAATTCTTCCCAACAACCAGGTTCATTAAACGTTTCCAAAGTACTCTAACAGGCTAACACTAGAGTACCCATCGCATCCAGTACTTCAATAAAGGATCTAACCAGGACAAAATCGAAGCACCATTTACCAGTCAATGCAGGAGTTTACACTATACCTTGTGGAGGCTGTGATGGAATATATGTAGGTGAAACAGCAAGAAACCTCGAAACATGCCTCAGTGAACACGGTAATGTATGTAGGAACGATAAACAACGCCTACGTACAACACCGGAATTCCGCCAATCACCTCATGAATTTCGGGGACGCCCGACTAGTGATCAAAGAACCTAGTTTCCGCAGACCTAAATGCCTTGAATCACCATTAATCGCTGTTTCTAACACAGTTAAACAAAACAAAGGCAGCTTCAACATCTCTGAAGTCTTAGCAAGAATCCTCCTCGAAACAGTAAACCTTGCCATCACTTAGTTGCTGCTGATACTACATAAAAGGACATACCCAGCTTGGGCCAACAGGTCTGCTGCAGTGTTCCTCCTTTCTTATGTAATAGAGGAGGGACACTGAAACAGACCTTCTCAAAACCATATACATTTGACCAACCTATTTTTATACT